TTAGCTTATCCCCTGCCCAGCCCATGCTTGATGCTTGGGGTATATGGGACCGTGTGTGTGTGAGTATGTGTACGCACACGTGTGCATATAAAATGTTGGACAGGAGGAAAAGTAACAAACTTGCCCTCTCTGATATAGTTCCCTTTTTGCTGGGAGAACACACTAGTGAGCAAGATGGTCCCAGATGGAACTGACTGCATACTGGGATTTGGGGTCAAGCAAGTCTGGTGCTGAGGAAGGTCTGCTGGGTAGGCTTCTAGAGGGGGTTCCAGTGAGCACTGAAGTGGAAACATCCAAAAGCATTGTAGCTGGCATTTTGCATTTTGTTTGTGGGTTTGTGTCGTTCTCTCCCCCCCTGCCCCCCCCCCCCCCCCAGATCCAGCTTTAATCTATGACAAGTGTGTGGAAGAGGAGAATGGCTTTGAAGGTGCTTTGGAAATATTCCCCCCTGGTTATAGCTCCAAGGCTGTAGAGCCCCAGTTGTCAGGTAAGCCAGTCTTTGGGCTCCTCTGAGAGGAGGAGTGGGAGACTGTCTCTGTGTGCTAGATGTATCCTTATCTCAAGGCATGATATCAGGAGTAAGAGTCCAGGGGCATTGGGATGGCCTGCTGGGGGCTAACGGTTGCTGATTTCTCTAGGTAAGATGCTGGTCCTTGATTACATCCTGGCAGTGACCCGAAGCCGCAGCAGTGACAAGGTAGTGCTGGTGTCTAATTACACTCAGACGTTGGACCTCTTTGAGAAGCTCTGCCGGGCCCGAAGGTAGGGAAGAGCCTAATCAATTTGCCAAAGCAGTGTCTCCTCGACCGTCCCACTAGGAAGAGTAGCTGTTCTGACCGGTGGATAGGGGCCAAGGTGTGGGTACAGTAGGGACTTCCCAGAAAATAACTGTTCTCTTACTGCTGCCACGGTCCCAGCTCCGTCTCTAAGCCGAAGAGCCCCTGGTCCTTCAGGTACTCCCAGAGGATGGAGTCCTGGCCTCGAGCTCCCTGCCTATCCCTTTGGGAGTTTAGGGCCTCAGGTTGTACATGAATAGCCTCAAGCATGGTTAGTTCAGTTCCTTCGGGAGCAGGGCTCTGCTTCCTTCTTGGGTTCTGATCTTTGGATTCCCCTTCAGGTACTTGTATGTCCGCTTGGATGGCACAATGTCCATTAAGAAGCGAGCCAAGGTTGTGGAGCGCTTTAACAATCCGTTGGTAAATGTACAGCCCCTGTTCCCACACTACCAGTGCAGTAACATCAGAATCCGGGGGTGACAGAGAAGCTATAAGGGTGCTCTGCTTTAGGGTCTCTTCGATTGTTTTGTTTTGTTTTTTTTCCCCTTTTCTGGTGGGCATGGTGGGGTTAGGCTGGTTGGTGATGGCTGGGCTGGGAAATTGGTAGGCAGACAAATTGGTGGTATTGCTGGTCCTTACAGCATGAGAGTACAGATGTGTGAGAGAGTAGTCTGCTGGGCTGAGTAGGATTCCAGTTCAGGCTGCAAGAGATTCTTTTTCTCCTGCTTCCTCTTTCCAGAGCCCTGACTTCGTCTTCATGCTAAGCAGCAAAGCTGGAGGCTGTGGCCTCAATCTCATCGGGGCTAACCGACTGGTCATGTTTGACCCTGACTGGAACCCGGCCAATGATGAACAGGCCATGGCCCGGATCTGGCGTGACGGTCAAAAGAAGACCTGCTATATCTATCGCCTGCTGTCTGTAAGGAGGGTGACAGTGGTCATAGTAGGGGTGGGTCATGGAACAAGACCTTCAGGACCATCTTGGGTTGTTTCTCAGTACCTCTCTTTGTCTCCTCTGCCTCTAGCAGTGGCCAGGCTATGGGCTTAGCCAGAGCCCTTTATTCTTCTGTACTTTCTTCCTCTCTCCACCCAATTCCTTCAAAACCTTACTGTGCCACCTGGATACCTGTTCAGGGGTTAGCAAATTCTCCTGTGGTCGCCTTCCTTTGACAGGACACCTGCTTTCCCTCATCCCTGATCTCTGCTGTGTCACTTGCCTCCACGGGTCTAAGAAGAGGTACTGGCATTTTCCACGTTCTCAGTCATCATTCAGACCATTCACCCTACAGTTCTCTTTTAAAGCTCATGTTATCTGACTTGACTACTGTCTTTTCTTCTTTGTTACAGTCTTCTATCCTATGCTGTTTTCCTAATTCATTGGTGACTTTGGATACCAGCCCCATCTTCGTTTTTTTCCCCACATCATCTGGACTTCAAGGACCATGCAGTTCCCTAGCACTCTGGCCTTCATGTTTCCTTGACCTCTCTAAATGAGCTCTTCAACTCCCCCTCATTTAATTACTCCCAAGGCCACACTCCAGAACTTTAATAGTGCCAAAACTACACATTGTTCCAAACTTTAATAGCTATCAGTCTCTTCTCACTTCCTGTTCTTCCAGCTTTCTCATACCTCCTACATCTGCTTCAAACTAATGTCCCTAGTACCCCACCTCCCCCCAGTCTGGCTTGACTTCTCTTTCTTTTTGTCCTGATTCTTAACCATGCATCCTCTCAGCCACTCTTTCTGTAAAACCTTCTCCACTTGGATCATTACAACTGTTTTCAGCTTCTGCACCAGATAAAATTTGCAGGTATAGATCAGCACTAGCACAAATTCACATATTCCATTTTGCGCTGGGCCGTATCTCGTTTCTTTCAACAGCCACTTCAAGCCTTCACCACTTCCCTCAAGTTTCTTACCTAACCCTGACTCTCATTCTTTTTGCAGAGACCTTGTCTTGTACGTCACAGAGAAAACGTAGGCTACCAGGCTTGAATTCTCTAGCCTCTCTTTCGTAAATCTCTGCACCTGGTTCTTCCCTTCCCATCTCCGAGGAAGATCATTTCCTTCTTTTTTGAGGCTCATCATTCTAGCTTTGCCCTAGATTCTTTCCTGTCCTTTCCTTTCTTAGTCAGTTAAGTTCTCCTTTATTTCCCTGGGTCTATAAACATGCTCAAGTAGCTCTCACCTTAAAACGGTTTCTTAAGCCTCTGTCCAATTGTAGCTACTACTTTGTGTTACTTTCCATTCATTCATAGTCACATTTTTCCAAAGCCTACCAATTAACTTCACTTCCTCATCTTCTACTCACTCATCAGACCCTTTATATGCCCCTGAACCTGCTTTTGAATGTACTCTTGGCTTCCTAATTGCCAAAACAAGAAACTCTTGATTTTTCCTCTGTATCTGACACTGTTGACCACTAATATTTAAAATTGTAATCTGGTTTTCCTACTTCTGTGATTACGTACACTCATTATATTGACAGATCTCTAAATTTTTAGCCTGGAACTCTTATGAGTTCTAGACCCATATTTCCATCACCTATTGCACATTTCCACTTGCATGTCTATGAACACTTTGGATGCATGGTGACTAAATTCATTTGCTTTCTGAATTCTGTCATTTAATGGCTCCATTATCCAACCAACCCAAACCTGGGTATCATCCTACTGGACGATTCTCTGTCTCCTGACAACAAATTACTACTGATTTTTACCTTCTGGAAATTTCTTTAACCTTCCTTTCTGTCCCACGCTAAGGTCACAGTCCTCTCTCACTTGGATATTGCAGCAGCTTCCTGATTCTTTACCTTTGGTCTTAACCTGTTTTCACATACTGCTTCCAGAATGAACTTGACAAAAATTCTGATTTTGCTTTTCATCACTTACAGGACAAGGCCAAGCTCTTTCAGCCTGGCATCCATATTTCTTCAGTATGACCTCTGCTGACTTTCTCAATCCCAGATTTTACTACATTCCCACCATCCTTTGGACAGGCTTAGGTTCTCAGTCCTCTAGTAGGCCAGGCCAGGCTTATTCCTTTGTTCCTATGTGGCACCTAGGAGCTTTCCCTTCTCTCTTTCTTTGTAAACCATCTATTCATTTTTTAAGATTCAACTCAAGGATAATCTTTCAAGCTTTCCAACACTCCCCTCTACCATCCCTCTTGTGGGCCCTTGGGTATCATATACAGGTTTTTATTATTGTACCAATTAGTTTATGTCTCTCCCACTAGACTATGAGCTCAAGAATAGGGATCATATTTGATTCTTCTTTGTATCCTCGTGTACAGGGCCTGGCTTAGGATACCCTAATGATATTTATTGAGTGAGAGAGACCTGGGCTTGGTGTGGAGCTCTGGTGAAGCTGCTACAAACCTCAGCTCACTCTGAAGGAATGTAGCCAGGCCATGAAACCCTCCATTTGTACAGAAAATATCCTGGGTGAGCAGACATGTACAAGTCATGTTCCCAAGAGACAGACTGGGAAAATGGACTCAGCTGAGCAGACATGTGGCTATAGGACTTGTAGTTTTATTTCCCCTTCTCTTGGGTAGCTATAGTTTCAAGCCCTAGGTTTTCCTGCCCCCCTGTGTTTGGGGATGACTTAGCCATGCATCCCTTGGTCTCCCCACCCCAGGCAGGAACCATTGAGGAGAAGATCTTTCAGCGCCAGAGCCACAAGAAGGCACTGAGCAGCTGTGTGGTGGATGAGGAGCAGGATGTGGAGCGGCACTTCTCTCTGGGCGAGCTGAAGGAGCTGTTTACCCTGGATGAGGCTAGCCTTAGTGACACACATGACAGGTGAGTGGAGTGCCCTTACTGGCTGTTACCTCTGAATTCCCTGCACACACGGGCACTGTAGTCACCACAGCTCTGTCCTCTGCCCCAGGTTGCGCTGCCGCCGCTGTGTCAACCACCACCAGGTCCGGCCACCCCCTGATGGTTCTGACTGTACCTCCGACCTGGCTCAGTGGAACCATAACACTGATAAGCGGGGGCTCAAGGATGAGGTACTCCAGGCTGCCTGGGATGCTGCCTCCACTGCCATCACATTCGTCTTCCACCAGCATTCCCATGAGGAGCAGCGGGGCCTCCACTGATAAACCAGTCGGTCTGGGTGTAGCTGTTAGAGGAAGGAGACAGGGAAAAGGGGCTCTTTGCCCCATAGGACCCTACTGAATTTTGTTCTCTGGGACAAAAATCATCAAGGAGGGCTGCGTGATGTTTGCCCAAAGTTTATTTTATAAGAAAAACTTTTTTGGTTAAAAAAAAGAAAGGAATAAAGGTATGAAAGGGACTGAGGCCTGGGAGCAGCATGGTAAGTCCAGCGGAGAAGAGGCCTGGTAGTGGACACTCCTAAACTCTAAAGCCTGGGTACCTGCTTGAGGAGGGAAAGCAGGAACCTCGGGCAGGGGTAGGGTAGCTGTCCCCAGTGACTGATGAGCATTGTAACCTGGCCCAGGGTTCCCAGAGTACTGGGCAAGGGGCCCAAAAGCTCTACACCCAGTTGTGGGAATGCCTTTGCTGAGCCCCATCAAGGCCTCCAGGACCTCAGTGCAAGGGAAGAAGGAAAAAAGAGAAAAAAAGGTGGCAGAAAGAGAAAGACAGTATTGGTGTTTGGGAGTTCTGGGCAGCCCGTGTCACAGCCCATGTCTCAGCCCCTGCAAGCTGATGGTACTGAGCATGGGCCTGTGAAGCATGGGCCCCATCACATGGTGCTGACATAATCTGCGAAAGCCTGGGATGAGTCCCACGAGTCGCTAACCACGTGGCAAGTGGCCCGGAGCCGCCGAATGGCTTCCCTGGCTGTGACTGCATCCTGGTCCAGCCAGTTTTGGAAGAGGCGCAGGTGACCAAAGGCTCCACGGCCCCAGCGCTCCAGCCGCTTGGCGAACTCCAGAAGGCCATCTGGCTTGATGCAGTTGGAACTGGTAGGGGTGAGATGGATTAGACACCCAGGAAACAACTAATCCCTATATCCTTGCTATATATCCCTGCAGCTCCATCCCTTGTCCCTTCCCCCCTCCCCATGTACCTGATGTCCAGCTGACATAGAGAGGAGGATGAATCCTCTGAGAAAACATCTGCCAGGGCCAGCAGGCCAGCATTCCCTGGGGAGAAGGGGAGAAATGTCTATAACCGCCCAAGAACAGGGACCAAGAGTATCCCAACCCAGTTCTGGTGGGAAGAAGCCCAGCCTCCTGAAGCTCCAGCATACAACTGTATTCCAACCCCTGTGTTCCCAGTGGAGAGGCCTATGCCTTCATCCACTGAGTTTCTAAGTCAAAGGACTGGCTCCTTCCCCCTGTCCCTTCCCAGGGCCCTGCCCCCACCCAGGCGGTTCCCTGGCAGCCGGAGGCCCTTCAGTGTGGAGTTGCCCTTCATAGCAGCAACCATCTCAGGCAGAAATTGGGCCGGGCGCTTCTCAAACAGACGGCAGAAGGAGAAGGTAATCTCTGTCAAGAGAAATTAGAATAAATTCTGATGGCTAACATTAGGACTTGGTGCTGCCCCTCCTGCCCCAATTGGCCCTAGCAAGGGGTGTGAATGTTTTTATAGAAGCCCAGAAAGAGAAGGAAAATTTGTCCAAGACCCCAAGCAAGACTGGAACTAAATCGGATTCAAACAAGAGACTGAGCCCAGATATTCACTGTTGGGAGGTTTTCTACATGAACAGTTCTCCATTTAATTTTTTTCTCCTCTATCCACTGACTGTCCACTATGCAGTGGTGGGCATTAGGGGCAAGTCTATGAGGGGAGCCTGACCCAGCATATTCATTCTTACCCACCACTATTATTTCTGTCAGCCACTGAAAGTTAAGAAAAACTTGAGTGAGGTACTGTAAAAGTGAGTAATTTCCCCATGTTCAGTATAGGAGGAACTGCAGGCTCTATAGCCATTGGACAGTTGAGGCTCTATGGCCGAGAACAGTGGCTGGCTCTTTCCAGTGAGGTAGTGGCAGGGCCACAGTGGGGACCCAGGAGTGCCCCAGGTTCTGGATGAAGAACTTACCATGAAGAGTCAGATTCTGTAGCAAAAAGAGCACCTCGCTCTGACAGTCAGCCAGATTCATGTCGTGGAAGCTCAGCCTCTTCAGGGCTAGGTTGTACTCTGCATGGGGGTAGAGGCCATGGGCCTTAACTTTCCCAAAGAACGATACAAGGTCTACCCTTCCTTTACCATTCTAGCTGGGTCCTACCTTTGAGTGTCTGTAACACAAGCCCAAAATCTTGGGGAGAGGCAAAGGTGGCACTATCCAGAGACAGCTGCTGCAGAGAACCTGAGGCCTTCAGCACAGAGCAGAGCAGTGGGGCTGGTTGGGCTCCCCGTGGAAATCCCATCTCCAGCTGTTCCAGGCAGTTTTCTAGATATGGTAGGGAGAAAAGATTGTAGCTGGCCATCTCCCTTCTACTCCCATAGCAGGTCCCATCCTGTTTAGAGATTCACTAAAAAATTTCATTCATCTACTTGTCATTGAGTACACACTACACATAAGTATTGTGCTAGGTTCTGGGAACAGCACTAAATGAGCTTTAGTCCTTGCCCTTCTGGAGCTTTTAGTCCAGGAAGACTAGACTACTCAGGCAAGCAAATACGAGTATGCAGAGTGGTGACATAGGAAACATACAGGATCTAAGGGAATATAAAGAAGAGACTAATCTGCCATGGTCACTTCCTACTGGGCTAATAGTGGTCTGGACTCTCCAGGCCATGGTTATCTTTGAACAGGCTCTAAAGAGGGAATGGATTTCATTCCCTCTTTAAGGAATAAGTGGTGCCAGGCCTGGATTAGAGGTCTTTCCACCTTCCTCACACAAATGCATCTGCACATTTGTGTGGACACACACATACACACACACTGCTTCACCTGGTATCTCCTCATCTCCAATTATGTGGCTAGGGGGCCCTGCATTCCCTGGCACAGCAGGGTTGTCCCTCTGGCTGGGGTGATCAACACGGATAGAGAGGACCCGAAGTAGGGGCAGGGCTCGCACAATGGCACGTGTCAGCTCCAGGATGGGCAGTGGTGAGAACAGATCACTGAGATGCAGGGCACGGAGGCGGCATCCAGCCTGGCCTGACAGGGCCCGCAGACTGTCCAGCAGGCGAAAGATGTTAGAGCCCAGGCCTATGGCAGGAAAGAAGTTAGGTCAGTCATGTGGGAGTGTCAGCAGGAGTAACATTCAGAGACAACTCCAGATATTTCTGTTGATAACTACCAAATCTCTTGAGCTATGGATCAGGTTATTTAAAATCATTTGTCTCAACTATTCATTCATTGTCTTGCTTTTTCCTCAGGTAACCAGCAAACTGATGTCTACTGTACTGGGCCATGCCCTCAAGCATCAGTGAGGGCAGTCACAAAACAAGATAGGACATGGGGAGTGGGGCAGGGAATCTTGTGCTGCCAGCTGAATGACAGGGCCAGGCCCACAGGGCAGCAGCAGACTCTGGACTTTTCTTATAGGTCACATGGAACATCTGAAGTCTAAGCAGGGGAGTGACAATGACCCAGTAGGGAATACTTTAAATGACCCAGTGGGAATAGAGCAAAAAATGATAACCACATCCTACAAAAAGGAGCAGGATCCAAAAGGGTTAGAGCAGAGGCTTAATGCCACAAAGCCAACATTATCTCCCCCTGGACTGAGCAGGTTCCTGTGGATTCATTCCTCCTGTTACACCTCACCCAGCACCTAGTAAATAACAGTTTTTGCTAGACAGTGATGAGCAGCAGATCTTATTCCTGCCTGTGTAGCCTGATGAACAACAAAAATGTGTGAGGGGAGCTGGGGAAGTGTAGGGTATTGTGGAAGCACAAAGGATGGGTACTTGGTACCCACACCAGCTTCTATCAGTAAAAACTTTCCAGTTGAGCCCTAAAGAACATGAAGGAGACAGGCTAAACTGAGGGAGAGGAGTGACCAGCAGGGAGAACTCAGCATATATAAAGGCCTGAAGGAAGAAGAATGGCAGGTTCCAAGAACTGAAAAATACTCAATGTGATTGGTGTGTAAAGTATGGGGGCGGGGGGGGGGGGGTTCAAGATGCCACTACAAAGGTAAGCAGGGGTGAGAACACGAATGACTGTAAAGTATGGTGACAGGAAACCATTGAAGGGTTTTTAAATGAATGAATGAATGAATGGCCTTTGCATTAAAAAAAAAAAAATGCTTGGCTACAGAGTAGACAGTGAATTGTATGGGGAGTATGGAGTCAGGAGGAACTGTTGAATCCAGGTGAGAAGTAATGGTAGCTTGAATTAAGATGTGGAGATAAGTGGATTTGAGAGTTCTTAAAGACAGATGTGCAAAAGAACCCAGCTGTCTTCTGGGCACCTGAAAGCTGTGAGGTCACTGAAAGAACAGGAGGAGGAGCAGCATGGAGGGGAGAAGATGCATTCAGGTTGGGGAGTCTGTGGTTTATGAAATGATGTCTAGTAGTCACCTGGCTAAAATGGTTCTGGAGTTGAGGAAAAAGATCTGGACTGGACCAGTGTCATAGACTGGGGAGTCTTCAGCATAGTTGGCTTTTGAAACCAAGGGAATGGACAAAATCATCCAGAAAGTATGCATAAAATGGCAGAGCTCTGAGGAACTCTGAACATTGATAACAAATAATGTCCAGAAAGGGAGAAGAAAAAAAAAATTGAGGTAGTGGAAATGAGAGTATTTCATGAAGGCTGTTTCATAGCAGCAAATGCCACCAAGAATTAATGTAAGAGGAGGACTGAAAAGTATGTATTGGACTTAGCAACAAGGAGGATCTTGGAGAAGGAAGGCAGCATTAAGTAGTGGTTCAAAACCTTGGGATTCTGGAATCAGGTTGCCTGGGTTTGAATCCTGGCTCTACAGTTTACTCATGAGGTTATCCTGGGCAACCCACTTGACCTCATAGGGTTGTTGTAAGGATTCAATTAATAGAATACTTAAATTGTGCCAGACACATACTAAGCAGTATATAAAAGTTAGTTCTTATTACTAAGGCATTTGAGAAACAAGCTTTCCTAAGAAGGCAAGAGGGTATGGATCCAGAGCACAGGTAAAAGAGTTAGCCTTAGTTAGGATAGCCATCACTCCCACTGTGAAAGAGGAAAGGATGAGTGTAGATAAAGAATTCTAGGTTGGTTAACAATAAGCTGAAGTTCATGTGTGATGGCTTCTATTTTCTCTGAAGTAGGAGGTGAAGTCATCTGCTGAGAAAGGAAAAGGGGGTAACATTTGGAAGTAGTAGGAATGGGAGCTAATGTTGCAAACACAGGATTCATAGAAGATTGATGATTGAATGTATAGTAGCACCAATCTACACAGTTGTGTGATTTTTCTCCATTACGTGCTCAGCAAGCTAGGTAGATTGGTAGATTTACCCAGAGTTGAAGTTTGGCTAGCTGGGCACAGCCAGGTGGGTAAGAACTGAGGACTGCTTCACAGGCTGCTGGTCTGATAAAAGTGTGTTCTATATCTTCTTGTCTGTACCGCTGCTTTGACAGGACTGGGGGGGATGACCCAACCTTAGCCCTGGCTGGGCCTTGCATACACGAAACTTCTCCCACCTGCCTGTGGATTGCGTACCATAGCTAAAATGTACCCATTCTTCAGGTCCTCGCTGCCTCTCAGGAACCCCTGCTTACAGCTCTAAATCAGGCCTACAGACCTCATGTTCTTCCCCAACAGTGAAAGTCTGCCCCTATTTCATGTGTGTGCTTTCTGTCCCACTGTGAAGCAGGCAGGGCCTCATCTGCAGCTTCTTGATCATATTCCCTATTCCCCTCCACAGGATTGGGCACACAGCTGGTGCCGCTGTGAGACCCATCCCTGCCCCTGCTGGGCACTCACCATTATAGGAGAGTGTGAGGCTCTCCAGAGACACCCAGGAGCTCAGCAGGTGGCACAGTGTCAGAGCCGCCTCCGTGGAGAGCGGAACTGTGAATAGCTCCAAGGTGGAAATGCTGCGGAATCGCTGGGAGGCCTCCAGTGCTGGAAGCCCCAGGCAGCTGGGATCTGATCCATCCAAAGCTCCACACGCCACTTCCCCGATCTCCATCTCTTCCCCATCCTCTTTCTCACCAGCCACAATGAAAACAAAGTCATACAGGTCTTCAGACTCTGCACCAGACCCCTGACGGGTGCGAGGACCCTTCTTCCCTGCAGCTCGCTTAAAACGCTTTAGGGGCTTAGGCTGTGGGGCTGAGCTAGCTGGAGCCCGTTTGGATGAGGATGTGGAAGAGGAGGCAGAGGAGGTGGTGGCTGGAGCAGAGGCTGGCCGCTTGGTGCCAGGAGCCTCGTGGGAGGTTGCTGGAGGGTGCAGATCCCTCTTAGGGTCTGTCCCACCTGCTGTCAGGCTCTCCTGTGTGCTCCGGCGTGTTACTCGGGTGGCAGGTGCAGCTCTGGCTGTCTGCTTGGCTTCGCTCTTCCGCCGAGAGGCCATCAGGGCTGCAGCACATCGCTCAGCAGCATCCCTGCGAGGCCGGCGTGAGCCCAGCAGGAGGGACCCTTCATCTCGGGATGGGGCCCGGCCTCGGGAGGCCTCTCCACAGAGGCGGCAAGGTGGGCCACCAGGGCCTGGCTGCCAGAAGCCAGCACTCATGGTGAGGATAAGGATGAAGAGGGCTGACTCAGGCACAGGCCAGGAGTACAGCGACACCTGGCTGACAGCCCCATGGTGAATAAGCTGATGCAGCAGCTGCCGAAGTGACTGCTGAGCAGCCACATCAGAGAACAGCAGGTGGCGGAACTTGAGGGTGTGCAGGGAACTGGCCAGGGTCTCCAGAACCCTGCGGTTGGGCTCAGCCACCAGCTCAGTTGCACCCTGCAGCATATTGCAGATGGTGAGCTGCCGGACATGGCGGGAGCTATGCAGAAGTGGTGAGAAGCGCTGGTCACAGAGACGCCTGTCAGAAGATACATCAATGGTCCCACGTAGAACATGGGAAAAAAAGGCCTCCATAAACTTGGCTCGCCAACAGGTCACACTCTGAAAGCAGAGAATATGCCAGACAGCTGTGATACTAAGAGGGTACCCGCTGAACCATCATCATCCCGGGTTCCTCCCTTCCAATAGCTATTTGCTGAGCCAGGCAATATTCTAAATAATTTACACAAATTCATTTAATCTTCACATCTTTGAGGTATGTGTTACTATTAGCCCCATTTTACAGGTAGGAAAAAAGGCACAAAGGTTGTTACTGCCTGTGGTTACACAGGTAAGTGGTAGAATCAAGATTGAACCCAGGAAATTTGGTTCCAGAGATTATTTTGCTATAGTGCCTGCCATTCAAGTGAAACAATCCTGTAACTTCTTCCACATCTGTTTCTAGAACCTGATCCCAACTTTCCATTCTTATCATCACCACCTTTGTTCAGACCCTTATCACCTCACACCTGACCACTTCATTAGCTTCCTGAATGCTCCCCCATCTCCTTTTCCCCTTCCCAAACTTTTGTGCAAGTCCACTGGATTCATCTTTGTAAAACATGTCTGATTACATTCTGCTTTAACCCCCCGCCCCCCACCCCCCACCCCCCACCCCCGAGGCTATCCACTGCTGAGGGCTAATCTGAAGTTCCTCAGCCTGGCAGGGAAAGCCCTGTACAATATGGCCTCTGTCTATCTGAGAAGCTTTCTCTCTCACATCTTGCTCACATGAATGCTTTGCTCTGGCCAAATTGATCACCTTACTGACCCAAACCTGCCTTCTTATGCCCTTTCCTACATCTGCCAGAAATGCTCTTCATTGCTGGCTTCCTGAGAGGACCTACTAACATTTTACTCTTGTTGAGGCTGTTCATCTGTGTCTCTTTGTATGACCCCTTCTACTCCTCTCCCTGCCTCTTGTGGGACTCCTCTGCTACTCTGATTATTCAGGTCTTAAACATTGGTAGACCTGTCTCATGGTGTTGAGTCTCTTCACTGTGTACATGTTTTATCCCAACCAGATTAGAAATTCCTGGAGATCAGGGTCCAAATCTTAGATCGGTTTTCTCCAGGGCAGTAGTTACTGGCTTTGATGTATATGAGACTTCATCAGACTATTCTGGTACATTTAGAAGAACTCTGAATGCAAGTATTTCTCAGCCTTTGGTACATACCAGAATTGACTGTGGAGCTTTTCTTTTTTGAAAATTCGTATGCCAGGTATCCAGACCTGGGAATTCTCTTATGTTACATCTGCAGTAAGGCCCATGCATTTTTGTTTTTTAAACCTCCCCCAGATGATTTTGATGTATATAGGTTTGCAATTACTGCCCCCACCCCCACCACAAGAGGACACACAGACTTCCTTAAGTCCCCATTCTCTCCTCAGGTACAGAAGAAAGTCTGCTGACTTTGATATAGGTGTCATCTCTGCCACTATACTCAACCTCTTAAACCTCTTTCTTCATCTATAAAATGTGGATAATACCACTTGCTTCACAGGTTTGTTGTGAAGATCAAATGAGACCATGCAAGTGAAAGCACTTTGTAAACTGTAAAATAAAAAATGTTATTTCTGTTACTGCTAATGGTAATAATTAGTCTGGATGGGCAATGTGAAATGGACTTGATGGAGGCAGAGCCTGTTAAGCAGGGTGCTTATTCAGCCTGAAGCAAAAGATAGTGGGGGGCTGAGGTTCCTCAAGACTAAGGGACACTTCTCTTTGGTACTTACCCTACCTCTATGCATTCCCTCATACCAGAGTGACCCTCAATTTATATCTGAGGTTCTTAGCAGGAGTTGGACCCCTATGGTCCTCAGCAAAAGTGTCATTCCTTTGCCCTGGCTATTCCCCATGACTCTGCCTGCTGTGATAATAATTAGGAATGACTTCATGTTTGAGCTAACTGCATGGTAGCAACAAGAGGGAAGGACCTCTCTCACCAGCAACAGTGGGGGGGGGCATTGGGGGACCAGGAAAAAATACCTGGCAACCAAATCTCCACTCAGCCTCGAGTAGAAGCAGAGAGAGTATTCCTGAATCCTACCTCACTCTAACACCTTCCTACACATTTGCTGGCCCATGCTCACAGCCTTGGAAAACACTTGCAGGTAACCTAGCAAGGCTTTAACTTCACAAATGAGACATTCTAGGCCTAAAATATGGACAAAGATGTGAACTAAGATGTTATGGCTACTTCTGACCATTAGGCATGTGGAATATGTAGTTTATAGATAACTATTAGTGTTGTTTTTCACATACTTTATTGTTTGATGAAGACAGTGGGAGAGAATATTTGAAACTGGAACACCCCAGACATGTGATAACTGCAGTGAGAACAGCATGACATAGTGATTAGGAGCATGAGTCCAGAGCCACATTGCCTCAACTTGAATCCTGAGTCTGCCATTCACTAACTATAACCTCAGACAAGCTGCTTCACCTCTTTCTGCCTCAGTTTCGTCATCTGTAAAGTGAGAAAATAACCTACCTACATCAGACAGTTTTAAGGATTAAATGAGTATCTGAAGTTAATTACGACAACTATTTCAATTATGAGCAGACAGTAGTTCACTGCAGTTTATTCCATCACCACCTTTTAGAAGAATCTCTGCTAAAACTTCAAAGCTGAGAAATAGCTAAGAGATCTAGCTCAAGCCACTCATTTTGTGTGCTTGTACACTATCGCTCAGGGAATGTAAAGTGATTTAAACACATTCTTTTGGGCAAGAGTAGGGGAAATGAGGCACCACCAAAAAGGTGAAATGACACTTGCCTACCAACACAGTCCTTGGCCCATCCACAACCTGGTGGCTCAGGCACTAGTTGGGGAGGAAGTGGGTATACAAACGAGGGAAGGCTAAATATTTTCTTGTACTACACAGAGCCAGCAAATGTTCATAAACTATTGTCCACTATTTTTCTGATAACAGAAATGTTGTTTGTGGAAAATCTATAAACCCATTCTTTCGAGTGTATATGTAAATGTGAATAGCTATAGATAATTGTTTTTATAACTTTGAGACAATTCTGAATAGTTTCAAATGCTGGGCTTTTAAAACATTATGCCACTGTGTCATTACCTTTTTACCACCATGTATCTAAATGTTTTCAGAATATGACTTTATTAATATTTTGAAAATATGAATATACTATAATCAATTCCTGCATATTGAATAAATTGTTTCTAGCTTTTTGATATTAAGTTGCTGTAATGAACATCTTGAAATAAATCTTCATGAGTATTTCCATTTTTATATACTATAAATTCTAAGAAATAGAATTTCTAGCCAAATAATATATTTTATATATATAAATAAGTATATATTATATATTTTTATACTATATATTACATGTACTTATTTTTATATAAGTATATATATGCTTATTTAAGAGTTATATACTTTCTCATTTTTTTATTTTTGAGATTCAATATATTTTATTGGAGATTTTTATATATTTTGTCCCAATCTTTACTTATTCTACTGGGATAGTTTGTCTTATTCCCGCTATCCTCTTGTTTTACAAATATTGTTGCAACATTCTTAGTTTATGTACCTTTTAAATTGTGTTGGCATTTTATATCGCCAAATATGTCCATGCTTTTTTGATTCTGCCCATTTAATAATTAACACTCTCCATCTTGAGATTAGATAACCAGTCACCTTTATTCTTTTTTTAGTTCTGTGCTTTGACTTTTTACAATTTAATCTTTAATCCATATAGAAATTGAGTATATTGTAAAATGAGGCTCTAACTTTATTTTTTCCAAATAGTTAACCAATAACCAGAGATTCATTTATTGAATAATCCTTCATTTCCGCACTGCTTTGTCTCCAGAATATCTATTTTATTCTACAGATCTCTTAATACACATACACTAGTACTACACAGTTTGAAATCCTATTTCTTTATAAGCAATCAGGGGCTATCTCTATCTCATTCACTACTGTATCCCTAGAACCTAGCACAGTGCCTGGAATTGAGCAGGCACTCATAAGTGTTTCTGAATTATGAAGTTAAGGTTACTGTCATGTAAAACTGGGAAGCAAAAGAAGGTACCCTTTGGAATGACCTCTGTCTAAGGGACTGTTAGGCTACCAAGCCTGGGGCTTCCTTAATGTTCTGAAATGCTCTGAGACAAGAAAAGATAACAAACTACCAGGAAGCCTGAGATAATATTGGAGAAAAAAAGCTTACTCTAAGTGAAAGATGTTACGATCTCCATCATCTGCTAGTCAACCATACTGCGTGGGAAACACTGGGACAAAGTGAATCCCATGCATCTTTAAGTTTCAGGAAACTTAGTATTTTCTAATCTTGCATCCACTTTTCTTCCTCATACGGCCTAATTCCTGTACAGCCTGAGGACTTTCCTGGGCCTTAGCATTATTGCACTGAACTTCAGGAGTTGTGTCCAGATCTAGAAGTAGGAAAGCTGAAGGATATGGAGCTGAATGTTACTGAACCCAGTGCATCCCCCCCAAAATTAAATCTCCTCATAAGAACTTGTTTTCTTATCATTTGGCTTCATCCACCATTTAAAGCTCAGTTCAAATACTACTTTCCAGGAAAGACTGTCATGCTCCCTTCTCCCTCAACCTCTTTGCTACTGTCACACCACTTATCCCACCATGCACGATGTATTTGTTTGCAGGTTTCCCTGCTAAATGTGAGAGATTAGTGTCTGTGCTTCCAATAGCTAACATAAGACCTGGTGTGTGGTAAGTTTAGTAAATGTTTATTGAACTCAATCTGTTCTGTCCCATAGTTATGGAGCAGCAGAAGAAATTCTGCTTAAATAAGAGCAAGTTATACCTGAACCAATGAATAACAGAATCTCAGGGCTAAAAGGAGCCCTAGAGTCATCTTCTAACCTCTCAGAATGCTGGATTTCTTCTACAATACCCTTGTGTCAGGTAGTTATCTAGACTCTATCTGAACACTTAGAGATGGGAAGCTTCTTAGCTCTGGCATTAGCTTGTTTCATCACCAATAAGCTCAGAGTTTAAAAATTCTACATTCAGTTTAGCAGAAATTTATTCTCCTTTGGCTTCTACCAGAACAAGTCTATTATTCCTCTTTTATATGAGAGTCATTCAAATATTTCAAGATAGTTCATGTTCCCCAGATCTTCTCTTTTTCAGGAAAAACATCTCCAGTCTTCCAAATGTGACTCATGTGATGTGGCCTTGACTTCTTTCTCCATACTCCAGGGGCAGCCTGACCACTGCAGAGCCAGGCAGGTCTATCATCCCCCTTGTCCTTCAGCTTATATTATAGTTACATTGATTCACACAGCTCAGAGGAGAGTCATTATATGAGTAGCTTTAGCACACTGTTGACTAAACCCCCTTAATCTTTTTCATACAAGTTGCTGCTAAGCCAGACCCCTCCACCTCCTACCCTGAGGTCATGCACTTGGAATTTTTTAGACTTAAGTGAAACATTGGTTTATTCTGTTAAATTTCATCTTGTCAAGTTTGACCACTGCTCCAGCCCTTTCAAGACCTCTATGAATCTGGGTTCTGCCATCCATTGTGATCACTACCTTTCCCTGTTTTGTGTTACCTGCAAACACAGTGAGCAATCAAGTCAGTGACAAATGCCAAATGGAAAGAACCTTGTGACAAGCCATCAGAGCCAAGAACCCTGTGACAAGCCATTTCCTCCCAAATTCACTCCATCACTGTCCCTGCACTTTACCAGTACCCAGCTTGTGTTTATAAGCTATTCCTGCTTTCACTGTGCAAAGTCAGGCCAGAGTTCTACCTGGTGCCTTAACTTACTTCCAAACTGGAAGGCCTTGTCTTCATCAGCTCATCCCATAGTCGGCGCCAGATGGCCTGAGTGGAGAGGCCTGTGGGGAGAAATATCACATTTACTTGGCTGCTCTTTGGCCACCATGGGTGAGGTAAATCAGCTTTTAATGTTGTCCTTCTCTGGGTTCACAGGAGCAATATGGCAGACTAGTAAAGAGCACTGGCTCTTAAGACAGACTGCCTGGGTTTAAATATCAGCAAACCACACTCTAGCTGTGTGACCTTGGGCAAGTTTACCTAATTTTTTTGTACCTCAGTTTCCTTATCAGTAAAACGTAGTTAATAATAGCTATTTCATAGAGTTGTTGAAAAAATTAAATGAGTTTCTCCAGGTAAAGTGCCTACGACAGTGCTTGGCATATCTGGATTAGTTAGATGAATGTTAGCTGTTAACAGATCTGTCCAATGAGGGGTTTGGAAGACAGCATGGTAAAACAGAAAAATGAAGATTCAGAAGATCTGGGTTTCAGTATGTCTTAGCTATTAATTGTGGTGTGCCTGTGGTTTCACTTTTATTAGTATAACTGGGATCATTTACTTGCTTTGTGTTTCACTGGACACTCTGACGAATCACATAAGAAAGTAGGTGTGAGGGTACTTTTTGAAAAGCATGAAGTTCTATGCAGGCATCAGGTGTAATATTTACCTGAAGAACATCATTGTAAGCAAGGCACCATCACTGACTGAGAAAGAGAGAGAAAGACACTTACCTTTCTTGAGGGCAGTTTCCTCAATCCTCTCCAAGTAATATATATTGAGCAGAGGTAAGATGCTTTGAAGTATTGGGCCTGGGAGGGCTAAAAAAACCAAAACACAAAATTTACTTTTATCTCCCAGGGTTCCAAGCATTATTTATCCTACTGGAAAGGAAAACAGAAGAGCAGACTTCTCATTTGGCAAATGGAACCTGTAGAAACTAACCTAAGTCTAATTCAAACTCTAGTCTACTTATCTTCAGCCACTTAGTTGGCAGCTGGAATTTCAGGGGCATGCACATCTTCAAGGATGAGATAATAAAGCAAGCGGATATGCTCATTTAGGAGCTCCTCAGCTCACTTTTGCCTAGCATAACGAACTATTCTGCATTTAAAAGGTCCTATTGGATAGTGTGATAAAAACATCCATCATAATCTGGGCCCTACTAACTTCTCCAGCTCCCTGCTTTGCCTCCTCTATTTCAGCCACACTAAACTACTTTTTTCATTTACCTAACATGTTACACTGCTTTCTGCCTCTGTCCCTTTGTCGTGCTGCTCTCTACCAGGAATGTCCTTGCCATTTTCAGCATATCAACTACTCATCTTTCAAGTATCATGTGCCCTTTATTAAGCCTTTTCTGAATTCCCTTCCTACTCTTCCAGGCTGGTGACTCCCATTCTTTGGGCCCCTACTGTATCCTGAACTAGTACTTTCCTATGAACAATAGAAATAATTAGGCCCTAACTCTAAATTCAACATATCATAAAAACAAAACTTGTTCTTGCTGATGTCTAGATTTGAGAGGCTTTATAGTATTGACTAAATGGTTTATAGTCTCTAGAGTTGGACAAAACTGGGTGAAATTCTGATTCTATTACTTAATTATGAATCCTTGGGCAAATTAACATCTTTAAGACTCGGTTTTCTCAATTTTAAAATGGAGGTAGTAGTAACTCCCTCATAATATTGTTATAAAAATTAAAGAAAATCATGCTTGTAATCTTTTTAAGACCATGTCTGGCCATAATCAGCTCACTAAATGTTGTTTATTATTATTATTATCTGTCAATAGCCTCTCTGTCCTGTCAAGAACAAGTCTTAGATCTTACAGTATACCATATCTAAGGAAAATCTTTCAAAACTTCTATTCTAGGATCTCCCTTTATCTTGTAGAATAATTGAATCTTGATGTCCAAGAGTCTAGTATAATTCTTTGTACATAGTACTCAGTGTACCTGCTGAATGAAAGTATTAATTCCCTAAGCTATTACATTAATGTAGGCCCCTACTGCATTCAAGATAAAGTCCAAGCTCCATATCCTGGCATTCAAGGTATAAGCAATTCTACTTGTCTCCTCACTGTATCCTTTCCTGCTGCCTCTACTCACTTTACCCTTCTCTCTCCCTACACAAAGCAACCCTAGTCCACTGCCTCCAGGAAGCCTTTCTTGGCTGTTAGCCCACATTGAGACCTTCCTCCAAAACAGCACTTCTTAGCAGGACTCTTACTTGGCTCTCCTAAGAGGCCTAACTTGATTCAGCTTTTTCTCTGTGACTGTTTACCTGGTCTAGGCCCATAGGAGCTCTTTCTCCTCTGTTCCTCCAATCTGCTCTGTTTAGCCATCCCCTCTCACAGCCACTGGGGATTCTCATCCTCTATTATCCACAAACCCCCTCTTCCTTTCTCCATTCCTCTTAAGCCAGGCTCTTCCTTGCTTCCTTCCAGCCTACACCTTTAATGCTTCCTCTTCCCAACTCCAGGCCTCCACACCCAGTCCTCTTCCCTCCTAGCCAAGTTTAGCATCCTAGAAGCTCCAGGCTAATACAGCCAATCTTCTCTGCCTTCTTCCACATCTTTCTGAGGACTTTTCTGAGCACCCTGCCCAGTTCCACTGAGACTTCTCCTGTTTCCCATGGGTCAGCCTGACCCTTCTTTCAGCTGTTGGCACAGGGCCTCCACAATCCCCTCTCCACCCCCCCCCCCCACCCCCCCAGCTTGAGGACTTCTAACAGTCTTCCCCACTGCAGGAAGATACTTGGGCCTCTTCAGGATCAGTGCCCCACCCCCACCTCACCAAGGGCCTGCTCCCATCCCTGGGCCTGCTTTAATCAGTCTCCACAGCTCTGGGGCTTATTCTTGGAGGCCCACCCCCCAAACTCTAGGGCCTTTTCTTCACAGCCACCTCCTCAGTGTGCAGCCCCCCCAACCCCCAATCCCAGGACCTCAAGCCCTCACTCCTGACCTTACCAGGGCCTTCCTCCTGGCAAAGACACTACCACCACTTCCGAGGCCTTCTCCAGAACCCCACCCCCTCACCCCCTCAAGGCCCGAGGCCTTCTCTCCTGCCCCTCCCTCCCCCTTTCCTGGGCCCTAGGCTGGCCTGGATCTCCTCACCCAGCTTCAGCCCTGGCCTCTGGACCCACCCCCTCACACCACCAGTCTGTCAGGCCCAAGGCCTCCCTCATCCCCCGTGCGGGCAGGCCTACCCCCCAGAGCTTTCACTCTCCTCTCTTTCACTCTCACCATCAGTGTTCACAAGGCCGACCCGAGTTGTTCTCATCAGCTGCCCGTCTGGGTCCAGCGGCGCCCACTCCAAAGCCCGGCCTCTGCGTGCCCATCGGCTGCGGGCCTCCTCTCCGGCGCTACCTGGCCCGCGCCGGCCCGCCCTAATCCCAGGCCCACCGGCCCCTCGGCCCAGCGCCGCGGGCCCGCCTTTGCCGCTCAGCCCGGGCGCGCTCAGCCCAGGCCGGGCCATCGGTCCGCGGCAGCTTTCAGGCCCGGGGCCTCTTTTCGCTCGCACTCAGCCCAGGGCCTCCCAGCGGCGACGCGCCCCCTCCCCGCCGGGATCCCGGGGCCGTCGCCCCGCCTGGGGCCTCGCTGGCCCTTCCCGCCTGTCCGTCATTCGAGCCTCCCTCGATTGCTGACCCGCTCCGGCCTCCCTTCACCCGCCCCGGGCCCTTCCTCCGCTCAGGCCAATCCGAGTGGCCTCCGGCGCTCCCTGCCCTGCCCGTCAGTCCCGCGCTCAAGCAATTTCGCACCCGAGGCCCCGGTCGTCAGTGCGCTGCCTTCAACCCTGGGTCGTCGGACAGGCCTCGGCGCCCCCGGCCCTTCGGCCTCTCCCCCCAGCCCCTGGCTCTCCAATCCACTGGGCTGCCTTTGCCCATCAGCCTGGCCTCCGGAGTCCCGGCACCCGCGGTCTGTCAAGCAGACACGGGAGGCCCCGCGCGTCCGTCAGGTTAGGTGGCCCCGGGCCTGGCCTCCTTGCCTTAGGCCGGGCCTCCCCACCTCGGCCCCCGCCCCCAAGCAGCGGGGCCATCCCTGCCCGTCCGTTCGACATCCGACACTCCCCAGCCCGGCCCGACCCGAGCGTCAGTTCGGTGCTCACGGCCGGCCCGTCACTGCAGCCTCTGTCTCCCGGGCCCTGCCTGTTTGGCCCCAGACCGGGCCTCCTGGCCTCGCCCCCCGCGCCCCCCAGCCAGGCCGCGGTGCGCGTCCACCTGCCGATTTGGTCCCCGCCTTTACTCTGTCCAGCCCGGTCAGGCACGGAATTCATGTTCCGACCCGACGGTGTGGCTTCCAGTGCCCCGGGCTGGGCCTTGCCCCAGGCCTCCCGGCCTCGCCCCCCGCGCCCCCCGGCCGCTGGGCCGCCTCCGCTCGTTGCCAGAGGTAGCCCCTCACCCCGCGACTTACCCCACACCCCGCTCTCCAGAACCCCCATATGGGCGCTCACCGCCCGCCCGCACAGCTCGAACAGGGCGGGGGGAGCGCTGGGGCCCGAGGCCGAGCTCTTCGCTGGCGCCGCCTCCCGGGACGTGGCCTCCATGGTCGTTGCCGCCGCTACCTCACAGAACCAGCAACTCCGGGCGCGCCAGGCCTCGGGCGCCGCCATCTTGGGGAGGTGCGCGAGCCCGAGAGTGGCACCCGCGGACCGCCATCTTGAAAAGGTCGGCAGTTAGGACGGTTTCATCAGCGATGTGGGTAAGACTGGGAACTGCGCTAAAGGAATAACGGATAAATCCGCATTCTTCCCAAGTCTCTTAGAAGCCAATATTTTAAATAAATCCATAGATCGATGTAGTCGGCACTGGCACGATTAAGGGGACATTACTTAGCAAATCCTCCTCAGGTGCAAATACCAGTTCCCCCTATCCCGTGCGTTTGGACGGTAGTATATGCCAATCCGAGCGTGTGTTCACGACTACGACGAGTCTGCCGCACTTCCGGCCAGATCGCCGGATATCCGCTGAGTGACCCTTACGAGTCCTTCTTGATCCTGAAGTGGAGTAGGTGCCGCTGTTGCTGTTGCTGTTGGTGTTGAATTCAGAACTGTAGCGGCACATGGGGCTGGAGGACGAGCGAAAGATGCTGACCGGGTCCGGAGATCCCAAGGAGGTAAGGGAAGGCGACCGACTCGACCCTCTTCACTGCCCAGAGGCTGAAGACCTACCCCGCCAAAACACACCCGGGGCCCTGTTGGCCCTGGATTCGCCCCTAGAGTTTGCACGGTCGGGATTGCTGGTTCCCTCGACCCTTCCACAGAATTTGTCTATTCATCTTGGACAAGTAGATGACTAGCCCTTTTCTGGGCTTAGTTTCTCCGTTCTGTGAATGCGGTGAAGGTGTAACGACAGCGAAAATGCTGTCGCCTAAACTTTTGTAAAAATAGTATATTTTTAGTCAGCCAGGTGATCTGAGACCCTGGTTTGACAGGTTTAGGGAGCAAGCCGACCGGCCTTTAGTACTTCTTTCCGCTCAGGTCAGGAATCCTGCCACATCTTCTATGGAGGCTCCGGAGATCTGGCCTTACGCTAGATAAGTGAAGAAGTGGTTTCTTTTTCTTTGGTAGGGTGGGGGTGGGAGGTATATTTGGGGACAGTGTAGGAATGTGCAGTATAATTCTGCGATGATGGAAGAGGGAGCTCTTTCCCAGAGTAAGAATGCCAATGTAATAATTATTGACTGTTTACTATTCCAAGTACTTTATATGACTAATTCATTTAAGCCACACAGTAGTCCTATGGGGTAAGTATTGGGGACTGTTATTATGGTCATTTTACAGATGAAAAACTAGCATAGAAAGGTTAAATATCTTTTCTAAGGACCACAGCTTTAATCACGGAGCGGGGAGTTGAACCCAAGCAGCATGGTTTCAGAGACAAGACTTAGCCACGGTGCTACACAGCTTTACAGAAGCCAGCTAGCTTTTGGTTTTCAGTCACATTTCCTATCCTTTGTTCTCTAGTCACTTCGCAGCAGCTGTTCCAGGTTTATGGGTTCTGAATAGTTGGAAACTAGTTTATCCCTTGATTTTTCCTAGTCTTCTTACTTTCAGAAAGGGGAACAGAAGGAAATGGAGCCAGCCTCAGGAAGTTCAGCAGGACTTATACCAGAAAGTTCAGTAGGGCTCTCCATAGCAGTAGATGAAAAGAAGGTAGTCAGTTTTTTAAATTAAGAAAACTTTGGGGTGCCTGGGTGGCTCAGTCCTCAAGCGTCTGCCTTCGGCTCAGGTCATGATCCCAGGGTCCTGGGATAGAGCCCGCATTGGACTCCCTGCTCAGCGGGGAGCCTGCTTCTCCCTCTCACTTCGCTGCTCCCCCCTGCTTGTCCTGTATCAAATAAATAAAATCTTTAAAAAAAGAAAGAAAACTGAGGTCATTTATGAAGAACCTATACTTTTTGGACATTAAATCTTTTTATTTAGTGTGACCTTGGTTTTTGTCATTGACTGGAAATTTTACATGAAGTAGTCCATATTCAGACATAGTATTTGGATTTGTTTTTCCAAAACATGCCCTGATACTTCTGACACAAAATTATCAAAATGATCAATGTAGTAGCATTGCTAATAGGGAAATGATACAGAGGTCTTGCTTTTAGGATACTAATTTCAGGTTTCTAACTGAGGCAGAATATGATTTCAATTTTTTGGAAAAACATTTCAGTATGAATTTTTTTAAAGAGCAAGGTTAAGAAGGCTTAATGAAAAACTAGAATTTGACATCCCAAAAATCATCTTCATGTTTAGAAGAGATCTTTGCTAATTGTGAGAATAAATAGCATGGGTTATAGTTAAACCTGCCTTAGCCCTCCCAGCTTTCATGAGCTTTGGTCTCTTCCCCAAAGGGCATGGTAGAGAATAAAGCAGATTGTGTTGGAATTTTGAAAACATAATGAGGGATTGCTGAGCTAGTTCTTATTTTCCTATATACCTTTTCATTCCCTTCCTCCAAATGTGGATATGTGCATGTGCAGGCAGGCAAACAGCTTGCTTTGACAGGTTGAAATATTGATCAGACTCGGCTGTGCGCCAGATTTTGGCCTATAATGATGCTCCCACAGGGAATTTTTTATACTGCTCTCCTTGGAAGAAAGGAAACTAAGTTTGAGGTTGTGCACCTGAATCAGAAGTAAATAGGCAGGAGTTGGTGTTTCCAATCTTGTGAATGGGTTACTCTAGACCTTTGATGCACTTATGCTGATAGTCTGCTTAAGAGTCCTGGGAGTTCACCAAGTCAAAAAGCAGTGACGGTAACCGTTTTTAGTTAAGCTCTGGCTAAAGAAAAGTTTAGGTTTGGCCATTTTCATATTCCCAGTTCATGTTCAGAGTCTAGAAAAAATGTTAGTTTTCCTCCTAACTTTGGGATATAAGGACTAAATTGAGCTATTTCTGGTAATACTAGGGCCTACCAGAATTTCAAACAAAAATACTTTATGTAGGTTCCATGTGAACATCAGCTTGAATCTGTATCAAAAAATGTCTAATTGGGGCACCAGTTGGCTCAGTCGATAGAGCGTGTGAATCTTGATCTCAGGGTGGTGAGTTCAAGCTTCACGTTGGGCGTAGAGCTTTAAAAAAAAAGAAAGAAAATATCTAATTAGTGTTCTCTCTAAACTGGGAGCCCTTAAGGGTCTGTTGTGATTAATCAAATTACAGATACGAAAGTACTTTATAAACTTTATTTATTTTAAAGATTTTATTTATTTACTTGAGAGAGAGAAATCGAGACAGCACAAGCAAGGGAGAGGGGCAGAGAGAAAGGGAGAAGCAGACTCCCCCTGAGCAGGGAGCCCGATGTGGGGCTTGATCTCAGAACCCTGAGATCATGACCTGAGCCAAAGGCAGAGTTTAACCGACTGAGCCACCCAGGCGCCCCACTTTATAAACTTTAGAGTGTCCTACACACTAGGTTGTTGCTAATGAAAGTGAGATAGCGTGTCCTTGTTGAAATGTTTGTTTTAATTAGGTATGGTAATAGTACAGGCATGGAGACAACTGTTTTTGAAAGGAGAGTTTATTATGAGTCCCAAGAGAAGGGAGGGAAGGCCACACCACTCAGAGCCACCTGGAGAAGGGCCTGGACCATCGGAAAGAGCAAGGGAAACCAGACTCTTGGTTTCTGAGGGAAAAAATGGGTGAGGCAGGATAGGCAAGCTCTGGCAAATTTAGGATTGGATTATTTGAGTAATTTCTGTGGGTTCTGGGCTATAGGGGTGGTCTCTAGCTGTTTGGTACTTGGCCTTCAGGGTGATTAGGGCAGGAGCAATAATTGGTTTAGTCTAGGAGATAAAGGAAGTGATTGGTGATAAGGGTTTTGGATTGGTTGGTTTACATATGAAAGGTGTGTCCCGTGGGAGGGGCTTTCTCTCCAGGATTAGCAAAGCCCCTAAAATGTCAAAGCGTCATAAAATACAGAAAATTTTAAAACACAATTAATACAGTGTTTATCCTCAGTAATTACAACATCAGTATGATTAGGAATATATATCCTAAGTTGCTGCTGACATTAATTTTGTTTTCCTTTTGTAGGAGGAAGAGGAGGAGGAGGAATTAGTGGTAAGAGCCGTCTCAGGTTTGGAACCATCTCAGTAAAAGGAAGTTTGAGCTTCATGAACTCTAAGGGCATTTTAAGGAGTCTTTATTTGACACGTGGGAGAGAATGGAAATGGAAAAAACCTTTAATACTTCCTTCCTGTGCTGTGGAGTGTTTGGGGGTGCGGGCCTGGGAAGCTGAGTCTTTTCTGGGTTTGGAGCTTCTTTAGTCATGGTGTCAGGGAGCAGAGCAGCATCTTGAGGGCCTGGTATTCAGTTATCTATCTGCTATTTGCGGTTTAATAAAGGACTCTGGAAGAAACTTTTCTTATATAGTCCTTCTCCATGTTAATATTGCCTTTCTAGCTGGGCAGCTGGGGTACATAGGCCTGGCTGTCAGATGAGGGGAATTCAAATTCACAGACATTACATATCCCAAATGCTGTGTTAACAAGTAAGGCCTCCTATAGATCTACTTCAAGTTTGGCTAGGTTTCCTTTACCACCTTGTTTTTCAGATAGGACTGAGGCTTTCAGTGCATACTGGCAACCTTGGAAGGCAGGAATGTGAAACTTTCCCCTACTACTTAGCATCAGAATTGAATGGGAGACCCCATTCTGCCATTTCTGGCGGCAGTGTGGCTCTGCCAGCTGGCCTTCTGCACGGTAATTCAGAGGCAGCACCTTGGTTTGGTGGTTGTATTAATCAAAGCAGATGGTTTGTGGGTCTCCTCCTAAAACCCGCATTTCTGTG